GTTTTGCTTCAGTTTTCATGATTCTTGTTTCTTCCTTATTACAGAGATGCCTAAGTTAAATATAGTAATTCTTTGTCAATTCTAATGAGTTTGAGTGAACCTTGTTTTTAAAACAAAATTTTGATTTTACTACGTTTTTCACATGTCATCCTATACTCTTCATTCTTCTAGTTTTTCACATCCATATTAAGTTTTGGAGTTGATTACTGCATATAGTACTTTTACTAAGTTTTAGCCCAAGATGAAAAACTTTAGAATTAATCTTATACTGGCTTCTCGGAATTATTTTATAAGCCAACTGGAAAATTGGCTAAAATCTTATAATAGGTCATTTGAATCACTCATTGTCCTGATTATTGATGTAAGAAATGACAAAGTAGATGATTCTCTAGGATTAAAGTGTATGTGTCTGTGTACACACATGCGGTATATCTATTTAGTTTTGTTTCTTTAAGCTAGTTTAAAGCATTAACTGCCAAAATCTATTTGCTTTGAACATTGATTTTTAGATTAATCCCTTAGAAGAGTTTACTTTGAATGCCATTAACAAACACCTATTTAAGAAATAATACTGTGGTCATTACTAAAAAGGCTTCAGTTTTTGTATTGGATCTTTGATGTATATTTTCTAGTGACAATTAATAATGTCAGTAAAAATGGCAGAATATCCAGACCATCGTGGTTATAAACATAAGTCCTATGAGATGTTAATGTGTTATGTGGAAAAGAATTCTGGGATCAGATCATTTTGCCACATGTTGGGTTATTCAGGCTTAAATGGGTTTCTTTACTGCAGGACTTCTTAGGATCTTTAATATACTAAGGTACATTATAAGTGCTTCAGGATGGGATGTAACAGTGTTTGCAGAACTTATTTAAAAATGGAACATTTATTTCTAGGACTGTTCCATAGAATATACTTTAGGAAATAATGGTATTTGATGCAGTTAGTATTTGTGTGAACTGCCATGAAGGAAGTAGTGTGTGTAACCTTTATTGATGAGTGCCATCCAGTTTATTTGAAAAAGTATTAACTTTAACAGTTGGACTCTTGGGACAGTAAGTTTCAAATGCTTTACAGATCCTCTTAAGAAATAAGAGCTTAAAGATTTCAGGTATAGTTTTTCTACTGCTGCTTCTACAGCTTTTCTCTAAAATGAAATTTATCCACATGCTTAGTGTTGTTGGAATGTATCTTAAACAGACTAGTGATAAGATCTCTTGATGACTCCCCCAACTTTTTACTCCAGACTGGTTTTCTCTACTGCGTTCCAAACTAATATTTTTAAGTTCCTATCCTGACAGTTTTAGATGCAAACCCTTATACGCATCGAACTGTTCAAAACTGAGCTCATCCTCTCCCATTTCCTCCTCCCCCAATCCCAGACTTTACTTTCTGTTTTCCATCCTGGCTAGTGGCACTATTGACATTTTGGCCTGGACAATTCTTTCTTGTAGGGGACTGTTCTGTGCATCGTAGATGTTTAGCAACATCCCTGGCTTCTACCCACTAGATGCCAATAGCAATCTCCTTCAGTTGTGACAACCAAAAATGTCTCCAGACGTTGTGAAATGTCCTACAGTGGACAAATCACCCCCATTTGAAAAACACTGCCCTACAGCCTATGTATTACTTAATCTTACTGATTCTGTTTTCTAAATTTACCTTTAATCCCTCCTCACATCTTTATCCCACTCCCTACCTCCATTCCTCTTTGTTTCTAATACTTGGGTTTCTTTCATAAGGGTCTGACTAGCTGTCCTATATTCAATCTTGTTTCCGTCCCATCCACCTGCTTCAGTACTGCCAAATTTATTTTTCTAAAATGCAAAGCTGTTCTCTATTTGCAATCTCTGGGTAGTTTCTGGAGGGGACCCTCATGAACTGGCTTCTCTCTTTAGCCTCATTCTTCAAAGGCACTCATACTCACTATACACCCCAGTGTACTGTGCTTTCTTCCCACCATACTGTACTTTGTTTCAAACTCTTACCTAGACATCAGTTTCTCCGTGGTAGCTCCCACTTATTTTCAGAGAAGGTATGATGGTGAAAAGCATTTTATTTTTTTTTTGACATTTGTCCTCCCTCATCAAATTGAACTTTTCAGGGGCAGGGACCATCTCTCTGTTTTTGGCATGTAGTAGATATTCAATAGAAGTCTGAACCATTGATTAGTATGCCTTGATAGATGTGGTTACTTCCTCATTACTTCTAGGAATCCTGTTCCCTGTGTCAGCAGTGACATTATTTTCCTAATCTTTTTCATCTAGACTTTGATAGGCTTTTGACCACAGAAATCTGGGACTATAATTTTAAGAAATCACCTATTCAGGACAGGATTGAAGAAAAGCAGTGTACTTAGTTGACAGATTCACAAGACACACGTGTAAAACATCTAGTTTAAAGATTTTTATTCAGAGGGAATTGAATGGTGTGGATTAATTGTGCAGATTAATATAATTGTTTGAATTAAAATGTGAAAAGTATTAGACTCACAACATTGGATTTCTATTGATAAGGATTTGTTAAAAGGCTTGTAAAAAGCAGTATCATTGTCTTAACTATTTTAGTTTTTCTTAAGATTTTATTTATCTGAGATAGAGAGCAAGCGTGAGTGCAAGAGTACGCGCATGAGCGAGGGGGGGTGGGTGCAGAGGAAGAGAAAGAAGCAGGCTCTCCACTGAGCAGAGAGCCCGATGTGGGGCTCATGACCTGAGCTGAAGGCAGGTGCTTAACCAACTGAGCCACCCAGGCACTCCTTAACTGTTTTAGTTTTTTATAAAATACATATATTGCAATATCCTGCACTATTTAGAAATTTATTCCCTGTCAAATGGGGGGAAAAGTTGTTAGTAAAGACTAGAGTTCCTACTTCCCTTCCTTCCATGCCTTAATAAATACAGTTTTGTGTGATTGGGTTTTCCTGTGAATACAGTCAGGCTGACCAACTACACTTACACCTAGAACTTTAATTAAAAGGTGAAGAAGAGAAAACTTGAGGTTTGCAGGGCTTTTGGAAGATAACCCAGATGTAGCATCAGCCTCATTGAAAAACTGAAGGATTGAAGGTGGGGAAACAAGGAATGAATAAGACCTAGTCCCGATTCAGAAGAATTCTTCATCCCGGCACAAAGCCTTGCCAGATTATTAATAATTATTTATTGGATGAATCTATATATAATGTGAGTTAAGCCAGAAATGATGGCTTTCTGCTTCAGTTTTTAGGGAATGGTATAAAATATATCAGATCCTTCAAAAGAGATTCATTTAATAAGAAAAGTTGTAATGGAGGTTTCCAGAAATAAAGCTGGGAAGAGGCAGGTTACTTATAGGAAAGGTTCCTCCCTTTCATACCTGCTCTCTAAGGGTGGAAGCAGATCATAGGCATAGGTGACACCCAGCCCATATTAACCTGAAGAGTCATGTTGCCAAGGACCCTGATTTGCCTTGCCTGTTTTTCAGTTTCTCCCTTTTCTATATTCTCCTTTCTTTAAATTTAAATTTTTAAACATTAAATACTGGTTAAAATTCTCTTTAGGCCTTAAGCAGCTTTAGGAAAGAAAGATGTTGTGTAATTGAAAGAAATGAGCTTTATTTGGGCTCAAAACAAAAAAAGCCAGGTAAAGGCTTTTCTAGAAGAACTTCTCAGAACTTGGAAAATTTTGCATTATAATGCTTCTGTTGCATACAGATCATTGCATGCTTGTTTTCCACACTGTAAAATAAACTAATGATATTTTGAATATACATTTTTTAATAGCTTTGGTTCTTAAAATTATTTTTGGGCGCCTGGGTGGCTCAGTCGGTTAAGCATCTGCCTTCGGCTCAGATCATGATCCTAGGGTCCTGGGATCGAATCCCACATCGGGCTCCTTGCTCTGCAGGGAGCCTGCTTGCTTCTCCCTCTCCTCCCCACTTGTGCTCTCTCTCACTATCTCTGTCTCTCTCTCTCAAATAAAATCTAAAAAAAAAATTATTTTTAAAATCTGTATATCTTTAAGGCCTTACTTAATCTCAATAAAAGATATTGTGGCTGTGAGCTACTTCGTTTTCCATATACCTTTTAATAAAGTAGAGATTATATTGAATGTAAACTTTTTCAGTAAGTTATTTACATGTTATCAGAATGTTTTAAATGGGTAAAAATTTTTAACCTAGTGAGGGTCTAATATAAGATTCTTGTATTTTAATAGGATATAGTCCATTCTCATTATTTGCAGTAGTTGTGTTCTATAAAGGCACCACGAGCACTGAATTGTCAAATATTGAATGATTGCTCCCAGGGGATACACAGAGTTCGGTTCCTACAAGCCTCTGGTCGTATTTTCATCAGTCAATACATAACCTTGTTTTATGTGTGTTTGTATTTAATGACACCTTATTTAATATGTATTATTGATTCGTTACCTTTGAACTCATGGCCAACAGCACTATAATTCATGCCTGAGCAAAGCTTACATAACGTATTCTCTCCATACGACAAATCAGTCTTTTTGCATCTAGGAACAGATAGCACTTCAGCACAGTGCTTGGAAGCTCGTTTTAAACAGAGAAAGCACCAACGAAAAGCACAGTAATGTGAAACACATGGTGCTAAAAAGATCACTTGTTTACAGTATGAGAGCTGAAACAAGAGGGCAAAGTGTTTCCTTGATCAACCTCAGATGGAAACATACATGTCAGGTGATTCACATCTTTCCAATTTCAAAAGACTAAGAAGGTACCTCAAGTACTGATTTTGAAGTTACAAATACATTTTAGTGAGTGGGAAGATTTGCAAATACAGAATCTACAAATAATGAGGATGGACTGTTATTGTTTTAAAGAAGCTTATGATTGAGTACTTAGAATATTCCAGATTTAAAACAATATTTCTCTTATTTTGGGGCATGTGGGAGTTTTGGGTTAAGTGGAATGATCCTCACAGTTTTCATGTTCTGTTGTCCAATGGAATAAAATTGTCTGCTCTCAATCTGTCATTTTATTTTTTGCCCTGTAGGGAACAACCCATCTTCAGCACTCGAGCTCATGTCTTCCAGATTGACCCAAACACAAAGAAGAACTGGGTACCCACCAGCAAGCACGCAGTTACTGTGTCTTATTTCTATGACAGCACAAGAAATGTGTACAGGATAATCAGTTTAGATGGCTCAAAGGTAAGTTACATTTAATTTAAATAATCTTTCTGTTTTATGCAGTAGAGCATTTTCTGTTTTATTTGGGGGATTTTTGTCTTTATTAAAATATAGTATTTCCTTTTGAGTTTTAAAAACTTACCTTTAAAAAACCAAAATTGATCATTCTTAGGGTGCCAGCATATTTTGTGTACTAAGTTGGATTGACCACCTTATTTATATTGAGTTAACATCCCAAAATATTCTACAAATTTTAAGTTAGTTTATTTGATAAATATTCATTGCATATCTATTACATGTCGGGCACTATGTGAGGTGCTGTGAATATAGTGGTAAACAGAATAGACACAGTTTCTACTCTTGGAGCATGAAATCTAGTAAGGAAATAGAATTCTTTCCAGATACACTTCTGTAGATTAGTAGGCAATTCACAATCCCTAAATGGTATGAAGTCTGGTCAGTGTCACCATTAAAGCTGACATCCCTTACTCTGAAGAGAAGTACGTGGACAAGACCTAAGTTTTTATTTTTAGGAGAGGCAGACGGTATAATGTTCAAGAGCACAGGCCACCTGGGTTCATAGCTCTGCTCTCCCATCTACTGGGTGTTTGATTTGGGGCAAATTACTTCTCTAAGCCTCATATTCTCACCTCATTAGGGGTGTTAGCAAGGATTAAGTCAGTTAATATCTGCAGAGCACTTTGATCAGTGTCTTGTACTTAGTATGCCTTTCAAAGAGGAGAAATTCCATTTTTTAATCAGTGAATTTTGAACAGCAGAGAGAGAGAGAGAAATACCAGACCTTGGATTCTGGATAAAATGTGTATAGAAAGATGAGGGCTCCATTCTTCTCCTTCCAGCTTTTTTGAAGCCATGAGGCCTTTCAAAAGCTCCCAGAAATTGTAGCAGTTCGGCGTAAGGGTTTTTGTTTTTTGTTTTTTTTTTAAGGCTCCTCGCTGAGCAGGGAGCCCGATGCGGGACTCGATCCCGGGACTCCAGGATCATGACCTGAGCCGAAGGCAGTCGCTTAACCAACTGAACCACGGCGTAAGGGTTAAGAGCACAGACTGTAGACACAGACTGTCTGGTTTGAATTTTTGCTCTACTGCTGACTAGCCATGTGACCTAGAACAAGATACTTAATGTCTTCACACCTCAATTTTCTCATCTGTAAAAAGGAACTAATAAAAATACCTACATCATTACACCACAGGATTGTTGTGAAGATTAAATAAATTTAGGCAAAAGCACTTAACGGGTGTATAGTAATCAGTATGCAAACACTGATTGTTTTTGTTATTATTAATATTTTTAGGCTGTTGGTTATGTATTGTCTAGTAGTTTTGGGGAACAAAAGATAATTTAATGTTCAACTTTGAGTTTGTTTTTTCATGAGCTCACTCATTATCTCCTTAACTAGATTACAGAACTCCAGGGGCTGTTAGCACCTTATCTTGTCCTTAAGTGACTAATGTGTATTTATTAGAATAATTGATTCTCGGGGTACCTGGGTGGCTCAGTCGGTTGAGTGGCAGGCTCTTGATTTTGGCTCAGGTCAAGATCTCATGGGTCCTGGGATTGAGTCGAGCATCGTCGGGTTCCCTGCTCCGTGGGGAGTCTGAGGATTCTCTCCCTCTGCCCCTCACCCCGCTTTCTCTTTCTCGGTCTCTCTCAAATCTTAAAAAAAAAAAAAAAAATGGATTCTCTTTCATTTTTACTTGGAGGATTTAAAGACTTGAGAAATAGTAGTAGTTAATTTCTATAAAACTTTTTTAAGATTATTTATTTATTTGAGAGAGAGAAAGAGCATGAGGGGGTGGGCAGAGGCAGAGGGAGAGAGAGAGAAGCAGACTCCCCCCTGAGCAGGGACCGACTGCACCCAGGTACCTCTACAAAACTTCTTTAATGAAGAATAATTTTGTCATATTTTGTAACTGTTAGTGAAATCACCAGATTTTAATTGTTACGATCTCAGACACTAGAATATTTCTTTCTTTCTTTTCCCTGACTAGAACTTTCAGTTCTCTACAATCTGCGTTTCCCTCTTGGCCCAAACCACAGAAAAGATATCGTTTTATTTGATGGGAGAGTTAAATGGAATAAAGTTCAACTGAAGTATTCCCTTGTCCCATGTGATTAAATAACTCTCATGTTTCTTCATTCTCGAGCAATAGGAACTATTGCTGCTGGCATTTCCATTTTTGAATATACTTTGCAGCTTGTAATCATTAGACTCTTAAATAACTCTTGTGAACGAGTTTTTGTTTTGCTTAACAAAATCTACCATCTGTAGCTGTTACACTCTCTAGTTACTTTTTAAAAACTGCTGCCGGTAGCTACTGCAGTTCCCTGCTGGAGTAGTTGTTTTTTGGTAAGCAGTAGTGGTTTACTTGTGGCTAAATGAGTGTTTTTCTGCCCCCTACCCCCACTTCTGTTTCTGCACTGCATGATGAGGTGGAAAGCCCTTAGGTGCCCCTGATTAGAAAATGTCCGTTTGTTCTCATTTAATGCCCTTACTGTGCATATGAAGTTTGCTTACAGGTTTTCTAATCAAGCTGCAGAGACATCAGCAAGGCTGAGGGCCAGAATAAGGGCCCTCTATGAACTGTAATGACACAGCATTTTTACCTCTTTTCCTTGAAAGGACAGGAACTCTGGATTGAGAGACAAATTTATTTTAAAGAACTAAGATTTTTCTTCTAAGTGGATTCATATTCAAATAGTTCAAAGCATTCAAGTCAAAGAATTCTAATGAATAATTTTTTGAAGTGTGGAATCATCTATCATTTTAAAGTTTTTCTTCAGTGATTAAAGAATCTCCATACAAGTAATCCCAGGACAAGTGGAGGCAAGGAAAGGTTCAAAATGGGAGTGAAAATGGAACTCTTAAACTTAAAAGCATAAAGAAGTTCACTTGACGTAGCTAAAACTGAAGGTCTGTGGTGAACAGCAGATGGGTCAGGATGCCTGTAAAACCTTTTGCTACCTCACATATTGAGAGTTACTGGGATCACATGTAAAATGCCCTTCTGTCCTTGAAAACACTCCGATTCCAGCTCAAAAGCATCCTCTTCAGGGAACAGCTGAGGACCATCACATCTAACATAGGACCTGCCAGTTCTGGCCTTCGAGGCTCTCAGACTCTATCACATGCTGGTAGGGGCTTCACAGCACTTACCACTCTGAAATTAAATTAGTCAGCTATTTATTTCTTTGTTCATTGACCAACTCTTCTTGCTTTAGAATGTAATCCACAGTTACATTGCCTCTCATTGTTACATTTCAAGTCTCTAAATTGTGCTTGGCATTTAACAGGTACTCAGTTAAAAAAGCTGACAAAAAGCTAACCAAGTGATTCCATGACCAAATTCCTTACCTTTTGTTACTCCATTCCTTACCATTTGTTAATATATTCTTTTCCATTTAGTTTTTCATTTCATGACAACCTGCAAGTTAGAGCACTTGTTAACCACATTTCACATAATCCTAAAATCACATGCTAGGAAAAGGAGCTTTTGAACTGAAGGGAAAGGAGGTATGAGTATATAAATTTTGTCAGAGGTAAAAATGCTTAATCAAGAATAAGTGTTCTCATAGAACAACAGCTAATACATCTGTTGTTTGAGACAGAAAGCAAGGGACCACTCTTTCTTTTACTGTCTTCTTTAGTAGGACAAGTGTCCTACATTTATTATTGCAACTTCATCAATATGTGCATAGCTCATAAATATTTATATTCATACTGTTCCCATGGTCAGTAGCTTTAGCTTTGTTTTGAAAATGCTTGATTTTCAGTCCACATTTAGTAGTTCACCAAATGACTGCTTAAGAATTTGGTAACATTTTTTTTTATTATTATTACTGGAATCACTTTGTAATCTCAAGTTTGGAGAGCATTAAACTACTTAACTAAGACTGATTCTATACTTTTGCAGTACTGGCAGAGGGAATGTACTTTAGCTAGTATGTTGTAATAATAGTTGGAATTTATTATAGGGATCACCAAAGTTAATATTTAACAACACACTAAAATACTAGTTTTCTAAGAAACTATGTGTTCAACAGAAATGATAGTGATTCTCTGTATCATGAATTTATACCACTTTATGAGAAAAGAAGTAAAGTATATATTTAGTGGTTTGTTTTTCCCTTGAGTAAAGGAAAAAGTACTAAATGATTGAAAGTCTTTTCTGTATCATAATATATTTAAGTCAGCTTTAAGAAAACTCTTGATTATGGATTTTAGAAAATTAGCATACAAATAGAAAATTCGTTCTGTTGATGTATTCATTTTTGAAAGATTGTTTGGAGGGTAGGGCCTTACTTTTAAAGAAACAACTATTAAAGCCTACTTGCTTCCAGGAAGTATTATTCAAAATTAATAGATACTGATCCTGTATGTTCAAAGGAAAGAAACTGGCCACACTAAAAACTCTTTAAGATTTTTTGCACTATTGGAAAACTTATTTTGATTGTAAAGTGTTAAAATTTTTGTTAGAGTACCTTTATATTTATAGTTCTTTTAGTTACCATATTTCTACACTGTCACTTAAAATGTTAAAAACTATTTCTAGGGCGCCTGGGTAGCTCAGTCTGTTAAGCATCTGCCTTCAGCTCAGGTCATAACCCCAGGGTCCTGGGATGGAGTCCTGCATCGGGTTCCCTGATTGGCTGGCGGGGAATCTGCTTCTCCCTCTCTCTGACCCCCCATTCTCTCTCTCTCTCTCTCTTGCAAAATAAATATATAAATTTAAAAAGATTTATTTATTTAAAAATAACTATTTCTATAGCTATCTTGTGACTCATTAGAAATCCTAAGTTCTGGGGCGCCTGGGTGGCTCAGATGGTTGGGCGTCTGCCTTCGGCTCAGGTCATGATCCCAGCGTCCTGGGATCGAGCCCCACATTGGGCTTCCTGCTCAGCAGGGAGCCTGCTTCTCCCTCTCCCTCTGCCTCTCTCCCTGCTCATACTCTCTCTCTCTCTCTCTCTGTATCTCTGTCTCAAATGAATAAATAAAAAAATCTTAAAAAAAAAAAAAAGAAATCCTAAGTTCTTATGGAACTAAATCGTCCTGTGTTTAAATTTTTGCTAGTTTTTGGCTAGTTATTCATATTTGTCTTATTTTTCAGGCAATAATTAATAGCACCATCACCCCAAACATGACATTTACTAAAACATCTCAGAAGTTTGGCCAGTGGGCCGATAGCCGGGCAAACACTGTTTATGGACTGGGATTCTCCTCTGAGCACCATCTTTCAAAAGTAAGTTAACTCATAAGATCAAGTGGAAATCTTCAAGTCAGATGTCTTAAATATATAATAGCAAATGGAAAATATAAAATATATGAGAAATTTGTTTAATATTCTCAGAACAACTGTAGTGACTTTAAAGCAAGAAGTGAGAGATCATTGGATTCCACTGTCAATTGGAAAATTAATTGTACACATTAAAAACGGTCACCATGGATGGAAAAGTATTTGTGTGGTTAACTGTGTGACAGAATTGTCACACAGACAGTTAACATAAAAGTGATTATCACTTCAGAATGGACTTTGCTCAGGGATTAGCACCCTTAGTGGAGATGGTCTGCAAGTAGGTAGATACCAAGCTCTTCTGAATTGTGGAAAACTTAAGCTGATAGTGCTAAAGATTTCAGCTTCTTGACATGATAGTAGGCACATATAAATTACTTTGTTTAGGAAAAATGGTGCTTTATCTGGGTGAGAATTACTCCAAACTCTGATGTAGTATAGAGTGAGATCTAATAAACAAATGAAGAGTTCTTAGAACATACTGACCAAGTAAATTACTGTGGCCAAAAAGGCCAATAAAATACAGAACATCACCAGGCTAATAAATATTGGAAATAAAACAGTTGTCCTGCTTGTAAGCAACAGCATGCAGTGCTCATACACTAGTGTCTTGAAATCTTGTGGGTGTCACACAGAAAGAGTATGTAAGGAAAAGAAAACTCTCCCAGGATACGAAGATGATCAAGGAGATGAGGATTACTCACTTTTCTGCTCACCAGACCCAAGGATTTATGCTTTAAACTTCTCTCTTTCAAGCCTTCCATAAAAGGATAACACTACATTTGGAACATTTTACGTAGAATTTGGTATACACAGGATCTGGTCCCTTTTGGGAGTTGTAGTTGTTCAGGGTCATCAGGCTCTTGAAGATAGAGTTCATGTTTAACCGTAAGCTATTCGTTAACAGAAATCATTTGGATTCTTAAATGAGTTCTTTTTAAAACCATGTTACTTTTTTGTGAGTATTTATTGACTCAAGCATATAGTTAGATAGCTCAGTAATTGAAGTAATCTTTGTTTCCATTTGTTTTGGTTGTAGACATTCCTTAACACTGTTGTCAAATGTTTTTGTTATCTTTTTGATATAAATTATAGTTTAGAGACCAATTTTAAGGATATTTTAACTTTTGCCTTCATGATTATAAGTCCATCCCCAATAGGATGATTAACATGAGCAAATGTTACCTAATTTGGTTTCTTTTACACCCATCGTATTCTCCAAATACATTTTCTTGAGTTGTAGTAAAGGTAAGAGTTAGATTCAAAGTCTTTTGGTAGAACAAGGAGACAGGCATCCAGTTGAGCATTGCTGCTCCATAAATAATCCCCTTAGGACATTACACATTTATTAGAATAAATTTTGCCATTACTCAAGTGGAAGCTTTTTGGAACTTTTTTTTGGAATTGTCTGTTAAAGTCTATAGCAAAAAAAAAAAGTTAAAACTGTAATTAGCTTACAGTTGCTAAATTTCTTGACAACACAGGAACTAAATGTGGATTAATTTGTCAAACTTGCATAAAATGATTTTTGAGTCTAAGTAATTTTGACTACAAATTAAGTTATTGTCACATCTTTGAGGTTACTGGGCAGCCAGCTAATGTGGTAAAGTAATAGTTTATTAAATCCTGTCAATTATACTTTATCCTTTCATTTGATCTTTTTTCTGGGAATGACTTTCATATTTCAAGAATTGTATTTTTCCTCTTTAAATTTAACATACACTTTTGACCAGCCTTACTGGTAGTGATTCCTAGTATTGTGAAGGAGGATTGACATTAGCTCTTGAAGTCTAGTTTATTTATTCACTAGACTTGGCTCTAAGAGTTTATATTTATATGATCATTCTCTTCAGAATGTTTTTGTTGAAAGATGACAAAATCGTGATTTATTTTCCAAGCAACTTTGGAGACCAATATTGCTTCTTTGTAGACTATGGGGGGCCCCAAGGAGTTTATATTAAGCAAGCATGTAATTATTCTGGCTTATTTTATCATTAACAATCTTAAGCAAATCAAAGCATTTTAAGGGTTTTGAGAAGGCTCTGAAGGCAATTCTAGACAAGAGTGTCTCAAAATAAGGGAGACTAGCAGCATTGAGAGAAATACTTGGTCTCCTAAGGCTGATGTATGAGGAAAATTGCAACTATGCTTGGATTGTTGGAGTGCTTACTAAGTTGTATTTTGTTATCATGGAAACCCAAAGCCTATAAAAATTAGCAATAGTGTGAGCCTTTATGAAGTTTGAAAGGGTTTTAAGCATTAATACTTTGGAATGCTAGATGAGCGTAAGAAAAATTCTTCAAATTACGTAAAGACAAATTAATTATGGTTTCATTTTTATTTCATTTACACCAGTGTGAATGAGACCTTTTTAGCTTTGTGTTCAGATTAATTGAACAGAATATCTCCTTACTTTAAAAAGGAGAATCATACTAATATAGATTCAGTTCCCTGATCTACAAGTTATAGATGGTGGGGACAAGTCTAAAGTAAGAAGGAAAACTGTAATGACAATTTTAATTTTGACCTTCCTCTAAGTCCCCAACACAGGTCAGAGTATCATGACCTCTCCTTCCAAAGTTTTCTTTCCCAAGAGAGAAATGAAATCAGGGTTGGCTTATGGGGGTTTGAGGAGGGAACTGTAATTTCATATTTTTATTACAACTCTAGCAGGTGTTTTAAGTTGCATAGAGATTTTTTATTTTTTAATTTGGTTATTCTGTAGCCTTAACTTACTCCCTCTGAGAATAGTGGTAGACTAGTTTCCGCTTCCAAAACAATAATAGATACTCTTTGTGGCCCTGACATTTCTAGATTACTATGGGTTCATAAGAATTAGCATTTCATGTACTGTAGGGTTTTTTTGTTGTTTTTACCAGTCTTAAAGACCTTTGTGGAACCATGTTGTTCCTCTCTGCTGCTGTACATTAGCTGTTTAGGAATCTTTGGAAATGAAGTTTTAGTAATGTCATTTAGTATAATAATAAATGTTGCTATTTGTATTGTTGAAAATAAAATGCCTTACATAATACGAGAGTTTATATTCTAGTAAAAGTTAAAAGCAAGCTCCAAATACTGAGAAGTTTATGAGTAAATACCTGAAAGATTGTTTTCTCCATGATAAGCAAGGTATACTAATCCTTACTGATTCCACTCACATCCTATACTCTGCACCTTGGTCTTAAAGTATATCTGAACAACCAAGAAAGGATGTAGGTAAACTTGCTGACACCAATTCTAAGTTAATTATATTGTGATGTTTTTCAATGCAATGGCTCAGAGTAGTTGATAGTGTACAAACAAGTGTTTGGTATTAGTTTTCTTTAACCTTCATTTTCATATTACACCTGTAATTGATTTTAGGGCTAGGTTGCTTGTTAAGAGTCAGTTATTCAGAAAATGAAAGAAAACCAAGGTAAAAGTGGGCATTGAGACCTATTATTTTATTTGGTTAATGTATATAGTCTTTATACATTCAGTTTGCAGAAAAGTTTCAGGAATTTAAAGAAGCTGCTCGACTAGCAAAGGAGAAATCACAGGAAAAGATGGAACTTACCAGTACACCTTCACAGGTGGGTATTTAATTTCTATTCTTATTTTTGAGCCTTGTTCATTTCAGATGGTATCCTTTATGCCAGGGTTAAATTTGGGAAAATAATGGCAAAATTAAGGTAGTTTCCGAGGTGGACATAGAAATGCACCCTTCAGTTAATCTGTACTAGTGGAGAAAGGTTTCTTTCCTATATGCCATTGTCTGCAAGAATCTAGGGGGAAAATCAGTTTAGTACTTATAACTTAGATTCTTTGATGTATGTACAACTTAAAAACAATCATATGTAAAGAGCATAGATTGGCCTATTTTGTGTTCTGTAATGGCCAGTCACAAGAGGAGACAGAGGAGAGGCTCAGGGAAATAAGAGTTTATTTTAATCACCAGTCCTAGAAATAGGAAGCATAGCACACATCTGAGGGGCACTTAGAGAAACCTCAGGGTGGTCAGGAGGCAGAAAGCAGGAGCATGGGAAAAGCTGAGGCTAGAGCTATATTGAAGAATGGCAGAGCAGGGTAGACAATTTAGGATTTGGCTAGTTGAATAATTTCTATAGCCTCTAAACTCAAAGGGGTAGTCCCTCGTTGCCTGGTAGCTGGCCCTTGTATGATGAAGGCAGAAGAATATTGCATCCTTGGGTGCATGGGCCAGATGAGGGAGGTACAGTTCTGGATTGGTTAGTTTGCATATCAAAGGCATGTTCCCACCTCACCCCCTTGTTCTAAGAATTGGCTAGCCAGGAAGTTTTTTTTTTTTAAGATGTCAAAACATCACATATATAGAAAAAAAAAATAGTGGTCTATTATCTTGATTTTAAGTGTACTTAAATCTGACAGTTGGGACATCTTTCTTTACACTTAGCACTGAAACCCAAAGGTTATAGGTTTTATACACGTTATTTGCTTTTTCCTTGAACAGTTGACTTAATACCTGTGACTTGCTCATCATAATCTTTCTTTAGTTGGAAATTAATTAGATCTCCAAGTAAAGTTCATTAAATACTTATATTTCAGTGCTTTTACAAAGGTTTTAATGTACATTGTATGATTCAGCTTTTTAATAGGCTTTTCTAAAATTAATTTTTATTTCAATTTGAGTCTTAAGGGTAGGGTTCAGCTTTGTGCTGGGTTCTCTATAGCATTTGAAGTGTACTCAAGGCTTATATGAAAAGGAAGAATCAGATGTTACAGATGTTTCTCTGGAATGTCAGTATAGTAGCAGATTTCCATAACACTTTGCTGAGAAAGTGAATAGGAATTGCCTGGAAATTTACTGACTAGCCATTTTCGAACATTGTTTGCTCTTTACCTTCTCCTCACCCCTGGCACCCAACTCTGTTTGGTAAACCCTGCTGGTATAAAGAGTTTTGGGTTTTTTTTTTTTTTTTTAAAGGAAAGGAGGGCTCTGTTAAGTATGTGTAAAGTACGTATTTCCTCATAGACTAAAAGTGTACTCTGGATCGAAGCCAAAGCTCCATTACACTTCTCCACACTTGCAGTGACCTGGAATAACATGATCACTTTGAAACTTCCCTTGACTCTGTATCTTCCCTAAGTGCTACAGTAGTATAGTGATAACTTTTCATAAAAACTATGGAATATTTAGTACATGTACTGGTAGCTCTCGTTCTTCAGGTGTTTGATTCTAGCGTTGAAAGAGGATGTTGTAGCACATGCCTTAGAGAATATGCAAAGGACTCCAATCAAATTATAATAGATTACACTTGTCCATTGTACTTAGTTCCTGTTTCTCTGATCATAACTTGTTTTTGTTTAGCCATGAACAAGTTGCTGGTAAGATACCTGCTACTCTTTGGAGGAAGGAATATCTTTAGGCCTTGACTTTCATCAAAGGAATATATCTAAGATGTTTATATATGGAAAATACTGTGAGATATAAGGAATAAAAAAATATCCTAAGTTCATCAGTATTTGAAAGCCAAAATATACTGACCCTAAGTTATCTTTTCAAAGCATTTAAAGTCTGATTGCTAATTTAATGTACAGAAGCCAGAGTAATAGTTTAAAAAAATGTATTTATTTTCATTTGTTTCCTCCCCTTCCCCTTTTGTGACAGTCCCTTACAGATTTCATTACTATTTCTGTTTTAGTTTGAAATGTATGACTGCTGGCCACTCTGATTCTACTCAGCTAGAGGACAGAGCTTGATTCTCCTTGATTTAACCCAGTCTGCTAAATTAACCCTCTGCCTGAGGTATAGAATATTACTCAGGAATTCAGCAAGGGGATCAAGAGGTTAAATGGAATAATTGATAGTAGTAGGCATTCAGTCAGTCATAGCTTTTGTTTTTATTGAGGAGGGATAACAGACTGGTTAAGAGTATGGGTTTTCAAATCAGACATACTTAGATATAAACTATTTTTTGTCACTATTTGGTCTTGAGAAAATGGCTTAACCGAATTCTCTTTATACATCTGTAACATGGGGATTACATTTCTTAGGTTATAGGCTTGTTGGAGGGAATAACAATGATAATGGCGATGTCATATGATAATGGCACTAATGTAGGCTTTAGAGCCTGGCTTTGAATCTGGGCTCTAACCCTTACTGGGGTTTTTTGTTTTTTGAGTTTTTTGTTTGTTTGTTTTTAATTTAGGCATGCTACTATTTCTTTAAATTTATAAAATGAGAATAAGCACAATGTCTCCTTAAACTAATATAACACTATATGTTAACTATACTGGAATTAAAAAACTTAATGAAAAAAAAAAAAAACCCCAGTATCTCCTTATAGGGTTATTGTGAGAATTAAATGAGGATTACAAAGTGCTTAGCATAGAGTATATTGTAAATGTTAACAGCTGTTGTTGGTGATGTGGTTGTAATGCTGAAGATGATGATGTAAAGCCTTGACATAGTATCTGGCACGTAATAGTTACTTAGAAAGATAAGGGTGCCTTAATTGAATAAAACCTGCATCAGAGTACCCTGGAAAACTTTTTAAAACACAAATGCTGAGTCCCACTCCTGGCGTTTTTGATTTAGCAGGGCTGAGTTAGGGCTTAAGAATTTGCATTTCTGGCAGAGTTCCGGGAGATGCTGATCCTGTTGATCTGGGGATCCCACTTTGAGAAGTAGTGCTGTAGACAAACTGTTCCACATCCCTAAAGGCATGTGATGAAGAGAGTCTGGCATTTAGGGCCAAGTTAGCCACTTCCCCATTCTTAAACTCTTGAGCTAAGATTGTACTCTTGATAAAATGTGTGGTCATGTCAGATAGTCTTTATGTTGTCTTGATCAAGATACCATCTCTAGGAATAAGTTGAATTATGTATTAGTTGTTACTTGGTTTCATGTCCTTCTTTAATAGACATTAATTTAGAACTTTTTCTCTTGGAGATCTTATGTTCTTGCATTTCCATGGGAATCTTAAACAGTCAATTTGACATAGAATCACGAGTAATGACTGGCTATAAATCTGAAGTTTCTTATATAGTGCACAGTAAAAAAAAATACTGTATTTGAATTAACTTGTTAAGTGCTTTCCTCAGAATGCACATTGAAGAAAAGGGGTCTATATAATCAAATAAATATAATGCAATTTTTTCTTCATTGGAGTTTAGAAAAAAGTAAGTTTTAGCTGTCATTTGACTAAGACTTTTAAGTTGAATGAAGTATTTACTTGGTTAGTTGTTTGTAGTCAAACACAAGTTATGGATTTTTTCCCCCATATATTGTAGCTCTCTTAATCTATATTTAGGCTAGCTTTTTCTCAAGATGTTTTAAAATTCACTTTATAGAAAAAGTAGCATATACGTGTGTGTGTATTCAAAGAAGGAACAAAGCCTCTTTAGCTTTGTTATAAATACCATAATTTTTTAATGTTCAAATTAAAGATAAATTGTATTTACTCAAACGAGGCACTGGTTTATTTTAACTGATTGTTAGTATCTCTGTGACTAGCTGTTTGATCTTATGCAAGTGAGTTGACTTGCCTGGGTAGTAGGTCTTAAATCTACAAGGTCAGAGTTTTGAACTATATGATCTCTTTGGACATTTCAAGTGTAATAAGTCTCAAATGTTTTAGATCTTCTTTAACAAGGGTGTCACTTGTTATAAGTGGATTTTTTTGAAAGGCGGTCTGCATTAGCCAAGTGTTACTGCCTTGAACTATTTTAGTTACATATCTAACCCACAAATATACCATTAGAATTAGTGAATGCCTGTAAATTAATATGATACTTTCTTAGTATCACATAACAAATGTGATTTTACTGAACCAGATACCTCAAAACAACTTTTACAATCTCAGGAAATGTTCACTAGAATTCTCTGGATATTATTGTTTGCTGTCCAAAGTAAGGACAGTGGACTTAAGAGTCTCTAATCCTGTTACTTGTCTCAGTGGAGTATTTATCCATTTCTCTATTGGATTTACCTATGAGGTGTTGGCAGTGAGAATAGGGAGGAGGGACTAGACCTAACAGTAGTGAAATTGACTCAACTTGGAGGAAATACAGGAGTTGAAGGATTGGTGAGGGAGGCTGGTTAAAGCAAGAGCAAGATGATTTTGAAACTTCTTTTGTTGGTTTGTAGCATGAACTTCAGAAGAGGATTTCCACTTCAGATACTGAATTTATATCCTAATTAGGCATTAAGGGGTTATGTCCTGTAGATAGAAATTATGAATTGGAGCTAAGTCTCAAGAGTCATCAACAAATGAGTAGTAGTTAAAGCTGTAGGAGAGAATGATATCATCAAGAAAGAAAATAGAATGGCAGGAGAGGGGAAGACAGGGTCAGAAATTGTCACTTAAATTTGAGGAAGATATAGGGAAAGACACTGAAAGTGGTAGGAAATGAAGCAGCAGAAAATGTTAGCACAGAAGTCAAAAGACGAGCATTTTAAGTTAGAGGCAGTGATTTGTCAGTGTCAGAGGGGGCTTCCAATAGGATGAGACTTAAGAGGACTTTAAACTGGGGCGCCTGGGTGGCTCAGTCCTTAAGGATGCCAGGATCCTGGGATCAGGCCCTGCATCAGGCTCCCTGCTCAGCGGGGAGT